TAGACGCTACAGACATCAGAGCTGATCGTTGGGGAGAAAACGCATTGATGGGATGTTAAAGTGTGATATTAAAGAAGGTCACTGTGAGGATGGAGTCCCACAAACACACTCTAACTGTGACTCAGAGCAGGAGGAGAGTCACAGTGATCACAATGATCATCCTGAATGTTCATCCTGACCTCTGATCCATCTGTTCAGGCCTCATGGCTGCACACTGAACTGTTACTACAGGGGCATTTAAATGCATGTATGTCAACACGCTCTGCTGTCATTTACTGAACTGCTCCATTTGCACAGACGGAGCAGATCTCCTGTCTCAGAGGAAGACGAGCCGGTTTTATTATAGGGGCTCAAACTTTTCCAATTACTTAAATTAAGCAACTTTTTCCTTTTTTCAAATTCCAAATTTGGGAGCAGACATTTCTCTGTGCTGAAACTTGGCGAGTGCGTCTGACAGACATCTCTGGAGTAAAGGATTTGGAGCAGGTGAAACCTACAGTGTTGTTGACCTACTCTCATTGTCACCTGCAGGCAATCTGAGCGTAGTGGAGCCACCGGTACAGACTCAGGACGGATTTATTTCTCTCTGGCTGCTAGTGTTTCTGTAGCATAATGTAAAGACGCACTCAGCCACATGGTGCTGTTCTGGAGAAAAAAGAGCTTTTTATTATTGTGTCAGGACAGATTTTTACTTTATTTAATTTACGGGGTCTTGGTTGGTGTCATTATGCAATAGTTGGGGGAATGCACACACACACACACACACACACACAGAAATTATTTTTAAAAAATCAAAATCAGATCAACTGTCTGGATTTTTAATTCACTGGAGGAATTTAAAAAAAAAAACAGTTCCTGCTCCATCTCTGGCCTCCATTCACACGCAGCTCGCTTTGATTACACTTCAAATTACTACCACAAGAAAAAAAAAAAAAACTCCTGCTTTTTATTCTTGAATTTAAACAACACAAACAGATGAATAGGACCACGGGGCATATTCACTCCTATAAGGCTTTAATGTCTAATAGTGCGTTTATGCTGATAATAATAATAAAAACTCTGCTCATCGCATCACCTGCCTTTTGCAGAAATTATCTGAATAATTCAGCGGCACAATGTGCCAGATCTTCGATGAAATATGGGGATCTTTAGTGGTCGGTCTGTTCTGCTAATTGGTACAAGCGCCCGAGGCCAGCTCCCGTCTAACAAACCGAGGACAGCAGCGCTCAGCGCGGGAACGCTGCAAGAATAGAAGCACGACAAATAAAGGCTGAATTAGATCAGATGGCCCTGCCCACCTCACTGCTGCTGCTGCTGGGGACATTTAAAAAGAAAAGAAAAAAAAACACCCAAGTTCACCCCAAAAACTGCATCATACAAAATAAATAGAATAAATAAAATAAAATAAAGAAGCAGATTTTAGTCGACGGCCCATTGCTTTAAATAGCTGTTGGGACAGAGTCTGATGATGCAGCCTAATAGTCTGTGACATGGCACGACTAATACTGTAAATAGACCAATCATGTGTCGGCATTCTTTTATTCTAATAATGTATTGATGCTGCCATGAAGCAGGAGAGAGTAATGAGCCGCATGTGGAGCAGCACAGCCCCCCTCCGAACCCAGGAGAGGTTCTGTCATCACCGGGATGGACGGATCTGGGAGAGAGAAAAAAACCCAGCAGCATTCATTTAATTATTGTTTTTGTTTTTTCTAATTTATTTAAGATGCGTGTTAATTGTAATGCACCGCAGATCTTAAACAGGAGACGCGCAGCATTAAGTCAGGATTAACCTGGAGTCCACATCTGCCTTTAAATCCACAGGACATCCATATCAGCGGTACCGAACCGGCTGCATTTATTCACTTATTTTTAAATTAAAAAAAATAAAAATATGGGAACAATTTTGGGACAAAAGGCCTGAAACACACACTGGAATAATAAAGACAGCGCGCCTCATACATAGTTTGAAATATGTGGAAATGACTTCATAATAAAATCAGATCGATGCTGGTGATCCAGACCTGATCCGTTCTGAGGACAGCAGTCCAGAACCAGCCACCCGGACCACGTCTCACCTCCTGACAGATGTGATGTTAAACGTCTGCAGCTCTTCATTCATTCATTCTGTTTGGGATTGTGTCTCTCCTCTTTCCTCCTGCTTTGACCCTCTGAGGTCACACAAGCAATTCTTTTTTTAAACGCATGATTAATTTCTCAGTAGGGCGACCGGCTAATGCATTATGAAAAAAAAAAAAAAGAAAACCCGAAGTGAACCGTATTCCAGCGGGGCTAATAGCGCTATTGTGTTCCAATGAGGCTTTCTGCTGCTGCACATGGTTTAGTCATGCTCTGCTTTGGTAACATGTCACAGACAGCTCTCCCAGGGACACGAAGCTGTGTGTCCAAAATAAATAATAAATAAAATAAAATAAAAAACCGGTTTTATTTGTGTCATTAAAATATCACAAACCGTCCTGTGGTTGGTGCAGCCTGGAAACCTGCACATTTTAATCTTTTTATATTCTCATAAATACACAAACGTATCGATAAATAGCTCTGGTTGCCAACGAGGTTTCAACATGTGTAAAAATACAGAATAGAGAAAAACTACAGACACTGACCTGCTCAAGAACAGGTTTAAAAAATATAAAAAGAAAAAAATCAACTTTTTAAAATAATGACAAAAAAAATTAAAGCTGCTCTGCCAGTTTTGTTTGTTTGTTTTGTTTTGTTGTGTTTGTTTGTTTTGTTGTTTTGTTTGCATGACATTATTTGTTGTCATCTCGCTATTGTGACGTCACGCGCTTCAGCGGCTGCGGCGGCCCGTGCGCGGCTCGTGCTCGTCCCCCCCGCCGTGTCGTTCCCGTGGCGTCCGTCCGCGAGACAAAAGCGCGCGCGGTGACAAGCTAAATTGGTTCGAAAAGGAGCAGATGGGGCTCGCGCTCTCTCTCTCCTGACTGTGTGTATTTGTGTGTGTGTGTGTGTGTGTGTGTGTGTGTG